AAAGCGTAACACCGGTCAACCTTCTAGAAAAAATTGAAGTTTGCAAGAAATCTTAAGAGGTTAATACCCAACCGGCCACATGGTGACATCTGAGAGTAAAACAAAAACACACCTGTTTAAGAAAAATTAAATAAACGACACAATAATAAAATGAAACCATCCTACGGTGGTTTAAGCCTGTTAAAAACACTATGTGAACTTTTGTTCTCAGAATCTTGGGGAGGGAAGTGATGAGACAAAGCTGCCTTCTAAATTTCCTTGTTGCAATCCGCCAACACAGATGGGACGCGCCCATTAAAGGCGCGTTGCACATGCACATTGGCTTCTATTAAATTATAGGTGTGTTGCAGTCCAGCGTATCCCACATGTTCAGCTCTTAAGAGCTTCCTCCCATGTAGAAATATTATCCGGCAAATATTTGACCTCCTCACTAATCAGCAGGAGAATTATATTCCCTTTATTCAACTACTTCAAGGCGCTAGGTTTTCCTTATAAAACTTGAGGGCAGTTATAGACTGGAAGCAACAATCTATAATAGTTTCGTTAATATCACTACTTCAAATTACTCGTAAGGAAGCTAGCGTCTTTGATAGCTGTGCTCTAAAGACCCAGTTTCTTTATTCCTAAGAGGCACTTCATTCTATTGTATCAGTGTTTAGAAATCACTCATTCACAAACAACTATATAGAGCACTTAACATGTTCAGCAGGAACTTCCCGGCCAAGGAACTCTACTTCCTGCCCACCACAAAGGTATGGAGTTTCAGTTAGCGTAGTGTGATCCGCATCGCAATACTGCTACTTACCAAAACTCCTTGGCAACAGATCATAAAGATGGATAGGACACCTTATAAGTGCTGGTAGAAGTAATTAAGCCTACTTTTCCAAATAACAGTAGACTGGTGCCTGAGAAAAACCAGTCTTTTTTTTAACTACACGGAACCTTCCGTCCTGCACTTCTACGGCAACTTCGATTCAAACCACCTGTCACTGAGCAGATTTGCTTTCTACTTTTAGTTACACTCCTTTAACATCCACTTCTCTTTTCGCAGCCAGTATTGCAAAATATGAATATCATTGGGGTAAAGAATGCTTGAGGTTAGAGCGCATCTGGCGACGCTTCTTAAGACAAACTGTTTGAGTCTTTTGATCGTGAAACGCGAAATTATATGTAAGAAAATAGCAGTAAAAGCATCAGCTAGTGAAAGAGCTGGGCACAAACGACCCTACAGTTCAAAGAGCCAAAAGGCGAATTTAATACAGCAGTGAAACAACAGTCACCAACAATAATAACAACAAAAAACCCCAAAGATTAGTACTTTAACTAGATTCTATGTCACTATAACTGGTTTCCTACCAAACTTCAATTCGCATAAGAAACCCCTATTAAAACTATTTAGTATAATGTACGAGAAACTTTTAAAAGGATGTAACATACGAATAAAAAATAAGGCTATTTTGAATATGAAGTTTGCAGTTTAAGCAAAATGAAATCATCACGAAAGCAAAAGCAGGAAATAAGAAATTAAATAGCAAATGAGTAACAATTGAGACCTCAAACAAACATAAATTGACCGCCAATTACGAATTTTGCTAAATGAAATTTTAAAAGACCCAAAAGAAGAACTAACACTGTTTTGCGAACAAGTCGATATAAATCTTGCAAAATTCGTTACAAGCAAGAAATTTTGAGAACTGCAAGTATCCCCATGATCCTTGGCAAAACGGCTTCACTTTTTTAAAATAAACTCAACTACAATCAATGGTCGTGAAACACATATATCCAACTTTGGATTAACAAACCCAGAAAGACAGGCAGAAAGAAATTAAACAAAAACTAAAAAAGAAGTGGTATTATGGTTATCTAAAAGAACATTTTTACGTATCGCTAATTGTAGTCTCTTAAGTGAAGGAATTTGTTTTTGAAATAAAGTAACACATCCTAAGTACGTGACGGCATTTTTCCGACTTTCATTCGTCTTCTACTGACATTAGCAGTGTCCTCTGTAGGGGAAGGGCTATGATTTGCAGCTGAGTAGGTAGAAAAACGAAAGAAAGCGTCTTCAACAAAGGATAAGACCTATAAACATCGTATACAATTACAACAAAGAAAAAGATGGTGCAAAAACTTTTTTGACATGGCAGAGAAGTAAAAAACATGATTGGAAATTATCATCCTAACTTTTGCTTAAAGAAATATTTAAAAAGTGCCCAAAAGCGAATGTTCACTAATGATTCGTATTCAATTTCTACTCTAAAAAAAAGAAACAAAGTTGAATTAACGGTCTTTCACTCCTAATAAACAGTGCATTAAAAAATTATGTCAAACTCCATTAGTAATTTTATGTTTGATAAAACGAGGAAAATGTATTACTCAGTATAGAAAAGACAAAAACTGCTCAGAGAATTGAAATTTTTTTTGAAGCTCAGAAAGATAATTCCTGATTCTAAAGAACTTTTAGATAGGCCTGATTAATGTGCTAAAGGACATCTAAAGCATACCTTTTGATGGTCGAAGAAGATGAAGGCAACTAATAAGAAAAACGGTAAAGCCAAGTAGCTTCCTATGGTTATCTCAACCTCAGCCAATTTTTGCTAAAACAAGGAAAGATTAGTGAAAGTAAGACTCTTCAAACGAATGTTATCTGATCGTGGAAATAACTAAATTCACCGATATGAACATGCGGAAAGTTTCTGATTGAAAAAAAACACTAAAAACATTTCTAATGATCTAAAAAAATAAAAGTGAGCAACCTGTGACACAACTTGCAGTTTGATTATTTTATAGGTTGAATCAGCAATAAATGAAACTTCTGGAGAAAAATATTTTTGACCGTTGTGACCATGGTCACTCTCGAAACGAACGGAATATTCCTACAAAACGCATAGAATGCTTCAACTCAGTTAGCATTCGACAAGTCAATTCTATATAGCACACTCTATTAATGTAAAATAAACAAGAATTTACTGTATTGTCCACAGGAAGACCGTCGAAGAAAAATATACGGGAAGGCGCATTGACTGTACATCGCTGAACTAAGGAATCTCGTTTATACACAGCAACATGATACTGTGGTGGTAGATCTAGTCCAACAAAATCGATCTCACCCATTACATCAACAGTTTTTTCGAAGTTCAGTAAGATAAAATCGATATTTTCAACATTCTTATTTAGCACCTAAATTACAGACATAAAATATAGACTGACAGCTTGAAACATTTTGACCCGATAGTCTCCCAAATAATTTAAAATGTTGAAGAAAATTTCCAAAATGGACTATGACTTATGAAGTCATAAACAATTACCCTTTAAAAAAAAGACGAAAAAAGAGAAAAAATAATAATTTTTAAAAAACTATTTTGCATCATATTTGTCAGACACAAGTTCATAGCGAAACAGAACATCTTACTGAAAGGTCGTAATGTGACGGGTACGAATCTAGGACCTTTCCATCCTGACTTTTAAGTTTCAACCTGTAAACGCAGTTTGGTCGAAGTCCACGAATCCGGTATGTCCCTGTCTCAGCTGTCGTGTCTTCCTCCTGAAGCTGGCTACACTTTTCAGAGACAGCTTCAACGACTAAGCCTTCCACTGGTTGACCAGCAACGTGAGTTACTGATCCGAAAACACTTAAACAATTGGTTTAAAGATATCCATTTTAATAATAAACCAACTACACCGAACTGTTTAACTTTTCTCAAAATTGAAATTACGAAAAGAAAAATCCGAATATAAATTATCACTAAAAAAAACCTGTAAGCAAACTGCTGGCCCTTAAGCGTTATTGATTCTTCCTTCCCTTCCTTCACATTTATTGTCAGCGACAATGGTTCAAAGCGATATTCTTGAAGAATCGGCCGTATAAAATACTCTCCAGGATGCTAGAAGAAGAAAAAACAGGGTTATAAAAGCTACAACGTCTAAGAGTAAGAATTTATAACTCGCACCAAGCCAACAAATGTTATTTTTCCGTCTTTATCGATAATATTATTAGATCGATAATTTTGAACGCCACTAAGAGATAAGAGGACATCATTGAGTGGTTCTCCCGATACGGCATCGACGATGGCAATACGTAGTTGAGAAAGTTTCACGGGCACAAAGAAACCGCTTTGATCTTTTTCAAATTTATAGCCATCTTTTTCAGCAGTTATATCAAAATCCTTCAGATTACGAACAGGTCCTAATCTAAAAAACAATTTTCTGGGATAAAAGAGAAAAAAATAAATCACTAAGTTTTAACAGGTCCTATTACGCCGATGCGTGAGTCACACGTTTCTTGGTAATGACTGTTTAAACGTTTAAAACATGCAACTAATTTCAGAGTAACCGTATAGCAAATCATTTCAAAGCATATAACCTCCTTCTGAAACCGAAAAAATTTTTCACCAAAATAATAGGCTTTTTATGCTTCAAAAATCAAAAAAAAAGAAAAAAAAGGAACAAGCGCAGCTCTTGGCTTAGAAAGTTGAACTAGCTCAATTTCATTGCAAGAATTCGGTGATTGGTAGAAGTGCCAGTGCAAACGAGGTTCTGTTATTTAATGTCGACGTAGTGTAATGTTAATTCCAAAAGTTTGCTTAAGAGTAAAAGAGGTATTAGTCTATATTCCGTATCGAACAACAGATGCCTGTGCGTAGGAGTTGAAGGAGGCCTCTAACCAATTAAAGATTTAGAAAAAAATTTCATGGTAGCCAATCCCATGGCTGCCAAACAAAGGAGAATATAATAGCGTGCTTTTCAGAAGAGAAGAAGCTACATTTTCTCGAAATTTGCTGGAGCCTATTTAAGAAGTTTTTGAATTGTTCAGGTGGTAGATACAAAGTGACTTTTAGGAAACAGTTTGAATATGCTTCGCATGCTAAGGAGATGTTTCCTGACCAATCAAGATTATTAGCTACATAAAAACTTCTTTATCGCCTTTTACCCTTTTAGGAAAATAATTCACTCCAAGATGTTCCTTTTCTATTAAAGAGTTGAAGCGAAGTCCTAATGCCACAAGTTAAAAATCATGCATGACAAAGTTCGCGCACTGTGAACAACAATGATAAATAGAGGGGAAATTAATATGCCAAAGCACAACGCGAACCTCAACGTACCAACGAAAATCCAGCAAAACCTGAGGGTCTGTCTCAACAGTTATTTTTTCATGACTTGTACTCCACTAGCTGTCACATACTATGACATCTGATGCGCAAAAAAACTAATTAAATATGCATCAACTTGGCACTACTAAACAAGAAAAATGAGAGACCAAAAGTAGAAAAATTAAAGTACAAAACTGTAGCAACACTCGTTCACCATAAAGTGAAAAGTTAGGGGCTGCCTAGTAATTCATCTAATCAACTTCCAAAGAAAAAAAGTTATGCAAATAAAAAAAAATTTATTAAAATGTACAAATTAATGAAGACCTAATGATGAAATATGCTTGTACTTAGTCATAAAATCCCCAAAAAACTGAAAAACCAAAGAAAGGCATGAAAGTTACCTGTAATTTCCCCTCACGTCTGTAAAGGTTTGCAGTACATATTCCGGTACTGAACGATGTTTTGCAAGAATTTTCACACCTTCAACAGGTGAAGATAATGATCCCTCGAGAAAGACACCTTTAACAGCCTTAAAAGTGATTTCGCTCTTGTGGCACTCACCTGAAAACTATTCACCAATATCTGTATTCAACATAATAAGCAAATAATTTATAACAACCACAACAATTCAGAATTACCATTAAAAATGAACTCGTGAGAAAGAGGTTCAAAAAGGTAAACGGCAGACTGTGGTATCAATGTGATCTTTCTACCGGAGTCAGAAATCGGAAGATGAAAGTGAAAAGCCAAATTGCCTGATTCATCTTCGGTCACCTGGAAGATTTAGAAACTGAAGCGGTGAGATACTGTTAAAATAATCAAATTAAACTCAAACCAACCTCAACAGTATCGATTTTTGAGGAACCTTTGACGTTCAAAGTAAAATCAATTTCTTCTGACAGTTTTGTGGCAGATGACACTAAAGCGGTGACGAGAAAATCGGTGGCGCGAACAACTAATTCGGAATCTTGTGGCGTACTTATCTCATAAAGCGGCTTTTCAAATGTATAGCAAGCATCAAATTTCAAAACATAACGTCCGGCCATAGGTAAACAAAGTAAAGTAACACCGGACGAAGCGTTCAATTCTCCAGTCAACTGTTTATTTTCCAAGAATTGCCACTTCTAAAAAATAATAACTTTTAACAATAAAACAGTCAAAAGTTCCTGAGAGAAAAAAATTCATTTCTAAAATGAACGAGCCACGGCAAAGCTAAAATGAACCGCAATGCGGGCAAAGCAATCTTCATATTCAGTAAAAACTTCCTGCCGCCAAAAAGCCACTATTTGGTTGTCAAAATAACACGGCCTTCAACAGTTTAACAGATTTAAAAGTAACTATTGAAAAACGTTCTTACTCCCACCCGAATTTGAAAAAGCAGAAAGCGAAAATTTAAAGAAAAATGGTTCTATAGCAAGAATGGTTCTTAACAGTGGGTAGATGACTTCAAGAATATTCTCGACACTTCTGCTATTACAATTTGTACGTTACAGATCCGGTCGCTTACAAAAATAGAGTTAAACAATAATTTTTTAAAAATTATACCTACCATTCTCGCAGGATGTGACAGCTTTATTCTCGCCTGATAACCTTTCTGCCGAAAACTTAAGTCACTGATGTGAGATCGCTCAACAATAAATGAGATTTCGGATCGATCCCAACAGTAATATCCTCCATCGAGAATTTTGACTGAAGCAGCAAAACCGTCATAGCAAATAAAAAGTAGAGACGTAAATCAAAAATTACTCGCAGACAGAATAGTTGAAAAATATCTCCTAGATACCTTTGTAAGTGTCAGGAACCACTGACATAAACCTAAACTCCTCGGTGCCGGTTACACTTTTGACTAGCTCTCTATCGTTCCAAAGTTCCAAGTTGAGCTCTTCGCAAACAGCTGAATTCAAATATCATATATAACGATGTCAATTTACAAGAAGTTACACCTGGTAATTTTTACTTTAAGAATAAAAAGATAAACTTAGACCGCAAAAATCGTAATCAAAAAAATTTCTTTAGAAGCTAGCCATCTAAAGTAAAAAAGCGTAACTTCCAAGCAAACATACCTATACAAAACACCTTCACCAAAATATTGGCCTTAAACTGAGTAAAAACTATGTCCAACACCGGTCCTTTTGAAAGATCTACTTCACGTTGTTTCGGCATCATTACTATACCATTCTCATTAGAAGGCTAAAACTTCAGTGAAAAAAAGAAATAAACATTTCTTGAGACATAACAAATTCTGCGCCAAATTCACTTAATTTTTGAAAGAATTTACTGCTATGACTCACTGTAAACTTACTGCAACAATGTAAACTTCTGGTACAACTAGTCTGCAAAATCTTCCACTGCTGTCACTTCGCGTTGATTGCTTATCGTTCGTGCGTTTATTCGTTATAAATACAGTGGTTACAGAGTTTTTTAATTCCTCGACATCAAGAGAACCACAAATTTCAACCCTAAGACGCATTTTTAAAAAAAGCTAAAATAAGGCAAATTGTTCAATGTGTGCGCAAAATATTAATTGAATTAGTGGGTAAGCTTTTTTTATCCTCCACTTTTAAATCTTGCAACATGTATAAAGAAAAGCAAGAGGTAGGTCCCTAACATTCGAAATTCTGAAACTGAAATTTGAAAAAATTGAGGTTTAAATTGGCAGAGTAAATAAAACGCTTACTTTTTTGCAAGAATAATGGGTATTTCCGTATTTTCTGCAGTTAGGTTGATCTTTAACGCATCAAACTGATAGTGCGCTTTTTTAGCCTCTAACAAATAACTCTTTTCCTGAAGTTCTTCTAAGATGAACCTGCAAAAAACATTTAGAAAGTTGAACTTTATACGAAACAAATGGCCAGAGAAGTAACAGGTCAAACGGTTCTTCGAAACAATAAGTATTCATGAAACCGCTGAATAACAAGAAAGCGTGAATCATTAAATGGTAAGGTTGTCTTCCGCTTCCGAATGCGGTAAAAGGCATTTTGTCTTCAACTCTCTAATTCTTTGATCCCATACAATTCATGCTCCCAAAAACACTTACTTCAAGGTGCGAAACACCGAATGCTTCTTTACTGTTTGTTGGAAGAATGGTAGCTATATTCCTGCATGCAGGACAAGCCAAATACACAGCTCTTAGAGTTTTAGAAGCACTTTCTATAAATGCTTAATATGTTTAGCAGGAACTTTTATCCTGGTCAACCTGTACAAAACGTGTGGCTCATAAATCTTAAGAAAATTTGCTTCAGGATAGTTTCTAAAAGACTCTATTCCAAAAAATATGTAGTAATACCTTCTATAAATCCTAAGGAAATAAACCAAAAAATAATCCACTACGCACCAAAGTACCACAGACTTGCCATTTAAATAAGATTTATTTTGTTTACTGAAAGCCAATAAAGATGGAGTTGAATAGACCACTAAGTGAGTCGTAACACTCCAGTATTATTTATAAACGCTTTTGCGTTAGACAGAACAATAATTGCAAGAAGCCTATTGTTAAAAGATAAACCTAAGTGTCACAGATCAGTCCTTTTCAAACGTATTTGAAAGAATTAGAAAATTATAATCTTCTCTTCCTCTTTCTTTCTTCCTCCTTTCTTAAGTTCTTCTCTTCAATTGCTTTTGTAGCCCAACACCTACATTTCCTTTTCACCCTTCCTCCTCAAAATTAGAAAAACAGAGAAGTATTTTTTCAGCAAAGGAAGGCAACTTGAGTAAGTTGAGTGGAAGAACTATTTCTTACAGTTATAAGAAAAAATGAGTACGAACCATCCTTCCTTGTCAGTTACGCACTTTCTTTCGCCGTTCACCAATACTTCTGCCTTTTCAACTGGCGTCTTCCCAACCATAACCTTCCCACGAGCATCAAAACCCAACATATCAAACTTTACCTGAAACTTTTAAGGAGATTCAAGGAAAAGACAAACAAGTTGATAGGTCTCAATAAAACAAATGAAAGAAAATTATCGAGATTTGAATGCTTTCTTGAAACAGTTCTGCACATCAGGAGGAACGGGAATGAAGGTAGCCTTACAAAAAAAAAAAAATGCAACGAAACTTTTCGTGAACATATTAAAGCCGAGGTTTCACTGCCAGATTCCGCACGGCTTAGTTACGTATGTAATAACTAGTATAGTAACAAATGTCCATTTTACGTGCGACTTCGCTCAAAAAGGAGGAACCAAAAAATCGACTTTACTCTACGAAGCAAAAACAAACTCCAGAATTACCCTCCGATTACTCAAAAATCTGATCATGACCCTTACACTTATGATTAGCCAATCGACCAGTGAGCCCTGTTCTTAGGGAATGAGCCATATTGTGCTCTCTTCGCCACCGAAACAGGTAATGGTGCAAGTTTCAACAGCTAAAAAATTACTTTAGGACTGCTCTGTAAAAGTGTGTGAATGAAGAAACTTATTGCCAAAGATAATTTTTTAAGCACTGAAGCCCACAGCATTACTTGCTTCGGGTGGATGAGAGGACCAGACACGAGTTAAGTACACAAGGCTCAAAAATTGAACTATCAACTATAATTATACTTTTGCAAGTCTTTGTAGAAAACCACAGAATCCAACGAAATTGTGAAATAACTTTCGGAAAGTTACTTTAAGCGGCGTATTGTGTGTAAGCCGATTAAAAGGTGATAACATTCTGCAAATATTACTAGTGATAATGCCACGTACTAGAAACAATGAGGTCATTTTCCCCCACAAATAAACTTGCTTCTTTTCAATTTCTGGTGCTCAAGAGAAGTTGGACATAAACATCTCAAAATGTTCACAAAAGGAGTTTATTTTAATTTTTATTGTGCTTAAGCCCAGCTTTAGCCCTGCCCCTTCAAACTTGAGCATCTATGCTTGAATTGCACTGGAAAATCCCCTCTAATTTTTGCGCCAAAATGAAAGCCTGAGAAAAACACGTTTCCTCTAGATCACCTTCCACAATGAATAATATATTAAAGCTTTCTAGAATAGCTTTAAAAAAAAACAAGATCATCCTACTTTTTTACAGGGCTATTCAGTTACCTAACATACTTGTTTGCCAAGGAACATTCACCAATATTTTTTCTTGTCAAAAATGAGCTTCTAAAACTGACCTGGTCCCGTCTTCCTACTGTTCCAGTCCCCCAAGCTCATATATAGCATTTCTAGCAATTTTCACTAACTAATAAGCGTTTCTTTAGAAGGACTTGGTTTTCTGTAGAAAATAAATAAAGAAACAAATCTGGACCACTTCCTGCGTTGACCCCATAACAAGCTTGTAGACTTTTGGAGAAAAAGAGAAATGAGCCTTCTCAGTTGCAAAGGAAGGAACAATTTCATATTGACCAGGAGGCAGACAAGGAAATCTGGCCGAGCCGCTTCCATCAGTTCTTAACGAGCAAACTAATTTCAAACTGTTTCTAACGACTGACGCATCATCATTACAATACGGAAGCTGAAAGGTCAAGTACTGTAATAAACTTTCAAAAAATGAACCATAAAACAAACAAACAACATTTGTAACACCTGAAACAAAACTTTAACAGAAGTACAACCCTCTATAAAACAGGATTTGAATTCTAAGACATACCTTAACAGGTTTCTGTGAAAAAAGCGATATCTCTACTCCTGAAGAAGGTTTCTTTCCAAATGTTACTGAAGTAACCAGTAAATGACCAGATATTTTTAAATCTGGTGCTACACGAACTGGTGAGTCGACAACCTTTATAGGAACCTTGCCTCTTTCAATGCACTGCGCGCTTCCATCAGCCGTTGAAACCTTGAATGTTAGCACTAAACTTGTAAAAACTGGTCACAAACATTCAGGTGTGCTGCAGAAAACTAATATTGTTAGAAAAAGTCGTAAGAACGAAACTGAAGTAATATAACAAATTATAAAAATACCAAATAATCTCCTGGGGGTGCGCGAAATTTGTAAATTCCGTTCGGCTCCGTTTTCGTCGATGCAATGACAAGTCCCTCAACAGTACTCAAAGTTAAGTGAACACCTGAAGGACCTCCACCTTCTCCACTCCTCAAGACTCCTTCCACAGAAAACGATGAAAGAACAAAGTTAATGTCTTCATTTAAAGTGCAAGGGTCCGAACTACCATCCACTTTCACCTCGAAGACCTCGGGCTCTGAATTACAATGACCTCAGCATTTGTGCAATAAAGTAACACCATCTTTAAAAAGAAAGCTAGTACCAAAATGCCACCCGCTTGGCGCGAAAACTTTTATAGAATATGCAGCTTTATTATAGACTGGAATCAAGTAATATCCATTGGAAGGATTACATTCCGTCTCATACTTGAGATTCCCTTCTGCTGTGAGGAGCTTTACCTAAAACTAACTATCCAAGTAATAAAAAGGAAAAAATGTGAGATAGAATAAGCAAATCAAATAAATTAAAAAATCGAATAAATCATGACGCAAGAAAATTTCAAAAATTATTCGCGAAAAGAACGTATTAAAAAATTACTACCTGTATTTTACTATAGTCGAGATGAATGTTTGGAGAGTTAACGAAACCGCCGCAGCTGAAAACGTTTGCAAAAGCACAAGGTAATAAATAATGCAGAAACAGAAGTAGCACTAGCCTCATCAAATAATACATGGTCGAATTCAAAGAAATTGAGCACCTAAATGCACATCTCTTGTAAACTGAAAACGAAATTCGGTTTTGCTTATATATGTATAACATTTATATAGAAAAATATCAAGTACTTTCACGAAGAAATGAACAAGCAGTAGATAGAATTTTTCAACTATTTCATGTT